GATTTGATTCGATTGATCGGACGAGCCTCGATCCATTTGGAGAACTTGTCGATTGATACCAATAGATGGGTGAAGCCCCGGGGTTTTTTGCGGAGGCCCGACCATAAATCGAGCCCCCCACACGGCGAACGGCCATGTGATGGGGATGGTTTTGCGGCTGTGGGCGGAGATGTGTTGCCGAAGCGTAGTCTTGGCATCCTTCGCAGGAGCGTACTAGTTTGGTAGCGTCGGCGACCGCCGTCGGCCAGTAGAACCCTTGGCGGAAAGTGTTCCCTACGAGCGTCCGAGGCGCCGCATGGTGTCCGCAGGCGCCCGCATGTAAGTCCCAAAGCAGGGCTCGTCCCGCTTCGGAGCTGATACACCGTTGGAGGACACCTGAGGGACTTCGCCTGTACAATTCGCCGTTGTAGAGGGCGAGGTCTTATTTCGCCGCAAGCCGCCGTGCTTACGTTTTGTCGTCAGGAAGCTCCCCCCGATCGAGCCAATCGAGGAACGGGACTCGCCAATCCGCGTCCTCGCTGTTCCTGTTCGAGAGAGTCTCGAAGCTGCTGCAGAAGGAGTTGGTCTTGCTCGACCTTGGCCTGGAGCTCATGGAGCTATTCTAGGTCTGGGCGCTGAGGTCGCGCAAGAGCGACATTCTCATTTCGTGTGGCCGGCAGGATGGCGCGTGGAGGTGTAGCGACGCCGCTGCATGGCTGGGCGTAGCGGGAACGGCTACCGCCTCGCTCCTCTTCGCCCGCTCTCGGCATCCCAACCCCGACATGAAAACATTCGCGAGTGGGGTCGAGGTGCCTTCGTGCGTCGAGTCTGAGTAGCCGGGCAAGAGTCGCTTTCAGCCCAAGAATCGCCGCAAAGCCCTGTGGTTGTGGAGTCCGAAAAAATCCACCCCGGGCCATGCCTCGTCCTTGTCCGAGAAGTCGAGAGGGTGCTCAGTCGAGAGCGAGGCCCGGGCGGCGCCCGAGGGGTGCTCGTGAGCGACAGAGTAAGCGAGGCGCACGAGGCGGGCGGCATTTCTCAACCCAAAAGGGTATGGGGGACGGTGCTGCTCTCCAGATTCTCGCCGCACGGAATCGGCTCTTCAGAGAGTGGTGGAGCGGAGCTTGACGACCTGGCATCGCCCGCATGCCACAGCAAGTTTCCTTTGTCCAAGCTCAGCTAGACGGGTCCCCTCACCAGGGACCACAATGTACAACACGGTGGTCGTAGGATATCGGCGGGGTGGCGTGTTGCCCCGGATTCGCAGAAGCGCCGGGTGGCCTTGTTCGTGCGTGCTTGGCGAGTCGGCGAGAATGGTCGCCCGGACGCCGCCCGCGCTGGCCGCCGAGGCGTGACTTCATCGTTGGTTGGTGGGGCTCGAGGAGGAGGAGCACCAAGTCGTACTCATGCCCTAGAGACATGAACTCTAGGCTCCCAACCAAACCACGGTGCCGAGACGCAATGGTCGTACGTGGTCTGCCATCCGGAACTCTTTGGGATGATTTAAACCGACACGCAGGGCCCCTACCTGGCGCGCCAACTGTCGGTGTTTCGGACCAGGGGGTCCTCAACCAACTAGTGAATTTGTTCTGCATGCTCCCGATCCGGATGGTGATGCAAAGAGACACAAGGTTTATACTGGTTCAGGCAATCGAGGCCCTACTTCTAGTCTGAGAGATCGATCTTGTATTCCTTGCACCGAGGTGCTCATAGTAGGGGGTTACAAGCTAAAGGAGAGAAGGAGTTGGTCCTAGGTCTCGGCAGGGTGCCGTGCGGGCCGCTTGAGACGTTGCTCTCTGGTGGCAGGAGTGTGCGTGTGTGTTACAAGGTGTCCCCCATCCCTAAAACAACCCAGGTCCTCTCCTTTTATAGCATGAAGGGAGGACTTGGGCGGTACATGTGCTGACTATACGGCGTCGTGTGAACAGAGGTTGCGTGTCCGGGCCCTGTAGCCTGTTCCTGTGGCGGCGTGGCCGTCGGAGTGGTCCATCCTTGGAGTACTGGGGCGGCGTTGTCATCCTATCAGGTCCTGTGCGCCGTGGGAGCCCCGGGAATGCCTCGGAGTGGATGCGGCGGCGAACGTGCAAGCCACTGTGGACGGACTGTGCGCGATGCCGAGGCTTGGTCGATGCCGAGGCCGGCACTGCGGTGGGGGGGTCTCGGCAGGCGCGAACCCCAAGATCGCCGAGGCCTCGGTGTACAGTGACGAGGCCTTGAGCGGGCGGCCGATCATGGGCACAGCGTTTGGACACAGTGGTCGGTAATCCCCGTCGTGCCCTTTCCCGGTCGGTATGGTCTTTGGTCGTGGACATGATAGTAGGACACAGTGGTAGGACACGATGCTTTCGCCCGGCCGCAGAGGATACTGATGCGACCTCGGGTCGCGTCGGCCATCTGTGGCGTTGAGCCACCGTCCATTGAGATTGCGGGAGTGGTTGAAGCATTAATGAGACATGACGAGTTGTTGGGAGGGTCGGCCGAGACGGGGGGGCGACGGACCGAGGACGAGCCGGCCTCGAGCGACACGGAGAATGAGGCCTCGCGCGATACGGAGAATGAGGGCTCTGCCGAGGCCTTCCCCTGGATAGCCTCGGGCGAGACGGAGACGGCGCCCCCGCCGAGGGGCTCGGCGCCCCCCGCCGAGGCCTACCTTGGGAGCCTCGCAGACGAGGCGGAGTTCGCCCGAGACCTCCCCGCCGAGGCTCGAGGCGAGGTGGAGGAGGGCTCGGTCGCGGCAGGTGAGGGGCTCATGGCTTACCTTCTAGCTTTATTTTGACGTTTGCTTGGGGTACCCCGTTCTAAGGTACCCGACATTTAGATTCTTATAGGACCACAAGTTTCTTACATATTTATTTATTTGTGGTTTTTTCTTGGTTGACGAATAGTGTTTGCTGAGGGGATCAGCCGGCTGGTCTGGATGGACCAGACCCGCGAACACGCCCTGTGTCTCAAAATAAGTCTTCATCTCGCATCCCGAGGAGTCAAACGATTTTAACTTTAATCAAATATGATCATGTTCGCTTGTCTTATAATCCGTACTTTTCGGCTCGTCTTTTCAGCCGGAACAGTGTTTTCTCTCTCACAACAAATCAGACGGAACAATATGTGGTTTCAGCGAAGCGAACGAGGCCTATATACTAATAAATATTAATATTTGCGATATAAGATAAGCACCGTTAGATTAAACACGTCGTATATTTTCATAATAAACCTATTGAAAGATACAAATGCTGATACTATTTTTTTATAAATATAATCAAAGTTGAGATTGGTTGACTCCTCAAAAAGCAACATGAAAACTTATTTTGGGATGGAGTGAGTACATTTTAACCATCCTGCTGGGTTATAAATAGGCTGATATATTAGTTGTGTCATGAGCTAGTACAGTCGAACAGTGCCAGCCAACTCGAGAATTTAAATGCTGTTTTCTGATGCATTCACGGGTTCAATCCCGAACACATTCGAGTGTTTCAGAAACACCAATGTGCTATGCTGTTCGGTGTTCACAGGACAACGAGGGGGTCTCTAGTCACTCAAATTCATGTCACATCAAATATTTAAATATTAATAAAGAGCATTAAATATAGATTAATTACAAAACCAATTACATAGATAGAGGCTAATTTATAAGACGATTTTTCTCCAAAAATTCACGTCACATCAAATATTTAGATGCTAATAAAGAGCATTAAATATAGATTAATTACAAAATCAATTACATAGATAGAGGTTAATTTGCGAGACGATTTTTTTAAACCTAATTAATCTATCATTAACATATGTTACTGTAGCATCAGGTTGTCAAAGTATAGACTAATTAGGCTTAAAAGATTCGTCTTATAAATTAGTCACAAGTTATGTAATTAATTTTATAATTAATCTATATTTAATACTCTATGTATGTGTCTAAATATTTGATGTGATAGAAATGTTATCAGCACGTATACAAACCAAACAGGCCTTAGGCCTTTTCGTGTGTCTCGTGAGCCGAACTATTTCAGCGCAGCAAATCAGTAAACAGCGCTTTCGCCGTGGCTTTACCTCCAGCGCAACTGATGGCCCAATAATTTCACTGGTCAGGGACAACTATTTGACCTGTGAGCTGCATGACCAGAGAAGGCTTTGAATGGCAGTAAAGTGTCCACACCAACCTTTCCATCACCGGTCACCACATTGACACAGAAGCAAGCAACAGAACGCAGCATCTAATTGCAATTAACAAAGCTAACATTCAGACCCGTTCGCTTCACTAAAAAAAAAACGGAAGAGAAAACACTGTTCTAGCTAAAAAAAAAAACTAAAAAATACAGATTATAAGACAAGCAAACATGACCTTAGGCTCTCGCCCTGTGAGCCGTACTATTTTAACAAATAAACAGTATTTTTCCTCTCGCAACTAATCCTTTCGCCATGCCTTTACCTCCAGCGCAACTGATGGCCCAATAATTTCACTGGTCAGGGACAGCTACAGATAGGGCACTATTTGACCTGTGAGCTGCGTGACCAGAGACGGTTTTGAATGGCAGTAAAGTTTCCACACCAACCTTTCCCTCACCGGTCACCACATTGACACAGAAGCAAGCAACAGAACGCAGCATCTAATTGCAATTAACAAAGCTTATGGTTCAGTAACCAGCAGTACACATACACAAAAAAAATGTCAGAAAGAGACCCCATCTTAGCATACTCTAATCACCTTCTGACTGCAAAATTATAGTACTGAAACGATTCTTTCATGCAAATCTGGTACACAATTTGAATGAGCAGTGAACACCACCTCGACAAGGACACGGCTTGGAATTGAATTCGCAACAGAATCGTGTGTGGTCCTCCAGTTCAATCATATGCTCATGTGTCATGGCAAACAGTACACAAAAAAATTGAGGTGATCAATTCGGTGGCAGTAATCTTTCTCAGGCAGAAGTTTTCATGCATAAATGTCCTCTGTTGGGAATAGCTCCTGTGCTTCCTCTGGGGGCTCAGGCTGGTACTGAAGCTGCTCGTAGTTCAGCTGTCTAGCTGCTTCATACAGTGCGATTCCAACGCTGACGGAGAGGTTGAGGCACCGGACGTAGGTTTCCACCATGGGAATCCGGGGTTCCACCGCCTAGGCCCTCTGGACAGCAATCCTCAAGGGCTTGTTGAGGCAATCCTTTTGTTTCAGAACCAAAGACTAGCCAGTCCCCTGGCCTGTAGGAGAAATCCTGATCAGAACATAAAACACATTAATCAAGCGAATGCCAAAGAATCCGAGTTGCACATTAAGCCAATGTGTTCCACTATAAATCTCCATCGATCTGTACCATTTCTGTAAGCAAATCTTCAAATTTGCAAATTAGTTGAGATTTTATACCCACTGCGATAGTTTTCATTGTGGTGCAGGTACGGATATGCCACAATTCTACTACTTGAAGAAGTAGTAGTTACTTACTGAATGGATTTGTGTGCCTCTTTTGGTGAATGCCAACAGCCTTTTATCTCCTTCCTAATCGAGAAAAAAAAGAACATGATGATGCTGAAAACAATTCAGTAGTCAAAATATCCGGGAGGACAGAGAATTCATCAGCTGCTTCATGAAATAATCACAGAAGTGGTCCCAAGAGTCATGAATCTTGACAACAACGTATCTTTAAAGCAGCGATTAAGGAAGAAGACTAATATTTGAGTATACGAGTTCTTTCTATGATCACTGCCCACAAGATTTAGTATGTTAGAGATCATATATAGATTATAATATAGACTGACAACACAAGGTTGATGTTACTACATTTATCATGAAAATACTTTTATAATACTTGACTCTTTATATTTCAAATAGCATATTTTTACATCTATTCATCGTCAAACTGCCATGTTGTAGACCATGCCAATGTTCTAATGGACTTAAATTTGGGTCGGGGAGCAATATATAATTGATACAGTATACATCCAACCAAAGGATACGGCCAATAATCCAATCCCGCACGCTTCAATTTTGTGTCATCTACCTTATAACCTAATGGCTGGAAAAAAGAAAATTTCAAACATATTTCAGTTAACATAGCACTCTAGATGTATGACAAAATGGGGCAAGAAAGATGATGCTGCATCAAGAACCATCTACTCAATAACACAACAAATAGTCCAGAGACTAACCTTACCCCGACAAGATGCAGGCCAACTGCAGATGCAGCACATGTCCTTGCAATGGACCCTGTATTCCCTGGTATCTGTGAAGTACAGTCATCCATAATTCAGCGATAACAGCAAAGCAAGTCAAATAATCAACTCAATAGTGTTACATTGCATCTAGTTACTAGTTTGCAACACTAGTATGGCATGCCGTAATCAAAGTAGAGCCATCCATAAATAAGCAACTACGCTAGTATTGCACAGCAAAGAGTTACTAGTTTACCCTCTTATTGTCCACCGAGCAAAGCAGCAGCAGGGTTAGGATATGGTGCATTACAAGCATTACACTTCCATCCATTAAACATGTTAGATGATATTGTTCATGTGGTGTAGGACTAGGCTAGAGTAGAGTGCAGGTCTGTGTCTGTAAAACGGACTAGACTAGACCTCCTCTGTCTCAATATTTGTACCAACAGATCATGTAAGGGTTTGAGTTATTTCTTCCCTATTATTGAATCGAACCTATCGGATTTAGGCATCAAGTTGAACAGACAAGATGCAATGCACCAATCCGAACTCTTACAGCCAGGTGACTGTAGAATCTGAGCCCAAACCTCAAAATTGCAGTCGGCCACAGGAATAAGAGCTCAAACCTCAAAATAAGAAGGCAGCAGTTACCGCTTACCAGCGGCGAGACGAGCACGACGTGAAGCATCCTGCTGGCTCGCGCCACCTCGACGCCGCTCCCCACGGGGACACCCGCGGCGCCATTCCCATCTCCACTAACAGCAACTGCAGAAACGTTTGCAAGCGCAGGGGGACGTCAGAGACACAGACACGCCGGAGGGCGGGAGGGGGTGACAGTCTCTCGCCACTCACGGGAGCAGAAGGCGGCCGCGCGGCGCTGGCGCCGGAGCCGGATGGCACGCGCGGCGGCGAACCCACCGAGGCTGACGGCGCAGCCGCCGCAGTAGCGGTGGCCAAGCGCGCGCAGGCCGGCCTCCATCTGTTGTTCTAGTTTAAAGATGGCAACGGGCACAAAATATCCGCGTGCCCACGGATAGAAAATCTGATGGACATCGATATGGGTTTAAGTTTGTGTCCACAGGCACGGGTATGGGTGTGATTCTAAACCCGATGGATATTTGCTCGTGGGCATAGAAAAATGATATCCGCACCCGCAAATCCGCTAGACCCGCGCCAATAATTTTATATACGGTTGTATGTCTTTATTTGTGTTAATTTATGATGACTTGAGATACACTAATGTAGATTTTTGATGACTCTTGTATGATCAATATGTCATACTTTATCTAATGTTGAGATATAAACGTTTATTTTTTGATATATTGTTTCTTACTTGCTATTAAGATATGGTTGGGTGCTTTGTTGCTTCATTTTTGTGGGTATACGGGTGTGCCCGCGGGCATGTGATATCCGCGGATAGCGGGCACGGGTATGGTTTTCTACCCGTGACAGATAGCGGGCGCGGGGGCGGGCACGGATTTTTGCTCGCGGGTATGGATATCTGAGGCTAGTATCCGCGCGGATTTTACCCGTTGGCATCTTTATTCTAGTTCGACAACGGGTACTAGGGAGAAGCGAAACGGGCCGTGGGTGCTGGGGTGGGCCTAGTGGGCTTTCGGTCCGAACTGTTTTGTGCTGCTGTGATAGGCTCCGGGTTCGTCGCTACTCGAGATCTGGAGTGGGCCTACTGGGATTACGGCCCGCGGACGAAGACCCTTCTTCTGGGGCTCAAATTGAATGCTTGCACAAAATTGAGGCCCAACCACGAAGGGAGGCAACATCATGTGCTGGACGCAACTCAGGAGAGGGAGAGCAACACCACACCACATTCACGTCGAGCAGCCACCCCGCCCACAGAGCAGTGTCGCCGGAGCCATCAGGATGAGAATGTGAAAAAAGGCGTCAGCAAAAGTCGCGGGGGAATCGAGGGGAGTGAGTATCCCGGAGCCGGAGCCAGAGCCAGCCATGGCGTTCCTTTTGCTGCATCTATACCCTTGCAGAGTACAGAGACAGATTCGGCTGCCTCCTCTAGACTCTCTCTGTCTTGTGTACGACCGAAATGGCAACACATCACTCACCTCCCATAAAGGGATGATATGCTCCATCCATATCGAGCGTTCGATCCTAGGCAGGCGTACCCTTCGCCGGCGGCAGCGGCAGCGGCGCGATTCGGAGCAAGGCTAAACAAAAGTGTTGTCTACGTTGGATGGCGATGGGTGAATCACATACTAAACCAGTGCCGGATTGGGTATAGCATGCTCACTTTATTTTGAACCCCCCCCTCCCCAATCATACCAGTAGTGCTGGGCTTTGGCCTTTACCTTTTGAGAGTGGGCCCTAGCATGAGCCTTAGGTATAACTCATAGCACGGCACGACACAAAAAATTTGTCTCGTGCCATGCCTCTCGGTACGATGGGCAACACCACATTCGTACTTTTAACGATCCGCCATGGAACGAAAACGACATATAAGTATGTATATAGCGCTACACAGTATAACTACCTAGTACTCTCTTACTGTCGTGCAGCTACTCTTATTCTTGACTGCATTAGGAAAATTATTTGAAACTTTTCATGAAAAATGTTACATACAAATTATATTTTGTCTATGTTAACGGAAAATAATAAACAAAGATATCCTGAGAACCATGTTTGGACCGGCACAGCACGAAAACAAGTCGACATACGAGCATGACCTATGGGCCATGCTTATGCCAAAACAAGCAAAAACTTTGTCATGACAACGTGTCTAACCTGCCTAGAAATCAAGCTGGGTCGACACAGAGCGTGAGAGGATCAGGCCGTGCTAGCATGACACCTCTGCGTACGAGTGGAGTGAAAACACACAGCTAGCTTCTTAGCAACCACGGCATACGATTCTGGAGGTGGTTGCATCCAAACTTGTCAAAAAAATAATAATAATTCAGATGCTTATACGATTGCTTTGTTAAAATTATATTCCTCCACTATCGTTTTGCTTTGCCTTGCACGTGTCTACCTCACGCAGATCGCCTTAATTAATACAACACTATACGTACTGATGCACTGTACGTCTGTACTATGGGGAGCATGCATGAGCATATATACAACCCAAGGTTAGAACAGGGAATCCACTTCACAGCCCATCATACAATCATGCATGCCCCATGAACGCTGACGTGGAGCCACATGGCAGGCAGTATCTCTTATATATGCCTCGGTGCTGTGCGACACGCATCGATCCCATGGATGCCATAGATTCCATCTCCATCTGGCCGGGCACAATCCCATTAAACTCTCAACAGCGCTGTCGCCGAAGAAGCTAAAGTTATTAACAACTCACTCATCAGCAGAAGCAGCTGATCGGATGCGTTTTACGAGGCATCTATCTGGCTAGCTAGATCCAGTGTGTCCCTTTTTTATACTCTTGCTCTCTGCATTGCAGCCTTGCGATGCGAGAGTTTTTTCCCCTTAAAAAAAAAATGTTGCGCGAGAGGTTTCGCTGGTCACTACTTGCGAAGACCAAGACCAAGGTACGTACGTAGCCAGTAGGGTTCGCGTGCAAGTACACATGCAATGCAAATGCTCAACCAAGTGGCGATCGTGTGGCTGTGCAGATCGATGCTCGTTGGAGTCGGTAGGGTCTGCCGGTTTGTAGCGCTGGAGGGCCAACATTTCCTTGGCTCTAGTTTTTCGTCAGTTTTAAGGGCGTCCCCAGCGGGATTCACGACTTCGCTCTCCATTCCCACAGGTGGAGCAGTACCCATAAATCCCGCTCTCACATAGTCTCGGTTAAAGTGAAATCGGCTGCTGATTCTTTGGTCGCTAGTGAGATAATCTCCAGTCCAATTTTTTTTTGTCTCGTCAATGAAAAAAAACAAACTAAAATACTATTTTGACTGATTTATTATAAGAAAAAAAAACACTATTCCGATTAACAAGACGAGCCGAAAAATACGAATTATAAGACAAGTGAATAGAGCCTTTACGTGTCCACGTCCGATGATGTCCAGCGTCAGCTGGCGACGTAGCCAACCATTGAGGCCGCCCTAATGTACTCCGCTAGAACCTGAGGAAGTGAAACTCCCTCGGACTTGGCCGTTTTTTTTATACGGATATGAAAAGGACCAATCAAGTTCCCAGGAATTGGCATATGAGTTTCTGGTACCGATCGAGATACATGGGGTATGTGCATTTGGCTTTGGCTACATGCTAAAACGACACTAGTATTTAGAATGAGCATCTCTAACACATTACCTGCCCTTCATCTCCTGGAGATGAAGTCTATATATATATATATATATATGATCTTTTATTACTATTAATTGGGGTAGTTTTTTCTTCTTCTTTCTCCTCCAACTGGTTGCAAATATCATTTAAGCCCACTTTGGAATCAAGGAAAAACGGAGAAATTCTTGAGGATTGAAACCATATAGGAAAATTTACTATGTACCCCTTGGAATAAATGATTGGGTTCCTAAAAATCTATGCCCTATTCGTTTCGCTGAAATTTAGCTTATGCTGATTTGTTGTGAGAGAAAAACACCGCTCATTCGTTGAAAAATATTGTTGAAGTAGTGTTGCAGAACATGACCATAATGGGATGTGTGTCATAGAAATTGGAATTTTACCAAGAGGTTGAACCTCATGGGGTTGATTTGTGTCAGTCGCGTCTCTTTCAACGAATTCTTGTGTTTATCCAGCACTTCATCCAAACCTTCAATATTGCAGTTTCCCATGTTAATCCATAGAATTCAAGATGCCGGGGAATTTTATTCTTGTGTTTTTTCTATTGCTATGTTTCTAGAATTCTGCATTGCAAAAAGACCCTTTAAATAAAGTGGATAGAGGAGAGGAGATTGATTTACAACATTTTTGAAGGAAAGGGTGGGTTTCAAATAGTTAAAACTTTTAGTTATTAAGAAAAGAATAAGTAATCTACTTGAGTGACCTCAATTCGTCATATGATAGTTTTTAAATATTAGAGATGAGATAAGTAATGTACTAGAGATGTTCTTATTTTTTTCTGACAATATTTAGAGTTTGTTTGGTGCCCGTCTATGCACGCCAGAGATGTCAAAAGTGCGTCGGCCGATTCTGGCCCGCTACACATTTGGCAAACTACGGCGTGTAGACAACGAACTAGACGTGCATGGCGAGGTCCGGCGGCGCCACAACTCAAGCAGCGAACCAAACACACACGACTAGCTTCTAACGTGGAACCTGCGGCATGGTGTGGTGAGCTTTACGCTCCCTTAGGGCTTGTTCGGTTCCTAGGAATTGATTGCTGAAACGATTCCAGCCTATAATATTCTGCTTAATTATACAATCTTTGATCACCCAGAATGATTTCCGGTGGAATCAGGGCTAAAAACGAACGAGCCCTTAGTCTGTAGCAGTACTTACTAGCTTGCTGCCCAAAATAAATTGAAATGGTAAGCAATAATCGCTGCAACAGTGCTAAATCTAGAAGAGAAACCATTAGAACGGAGAGGACAGGACGACATGGTGATGGACTGATGGGTCTCTCAGCTCCAACGGCCAACTTGGTCACTCACATCACATGGCCTGCTAGGTGATGAACATCCTAGGGACCCCACGTGGCAGTGACATCAATACCACAGGGCCCCTTCCATTACCCATGATCGATGCTGGTTTTTAATTAGTTATTAATTGTTACATGTATGTATAATATATATATATATAGAGGAGCCTGATTGATTTGAGAGAAAATTCTTTCATTGCCATTGGAAACTATAACAATCCCTTCGTTACCATTCAAAATTACATGTTTCCTTCATTGCCATCAGTTTTAGATCTTCCGTTCCCTCATTGCCACTGCTGTTACATAGAGTCACGGCGTGACTTCGCTCGCCGTCTCCCACGCCCAGGCCGCCTCCTCCGTGACTGCGTTTAAGCGAAGCTCTGCTTGGTAAGCAAAGAGACACCACCGCCACACACCCCAGACACACACACACCGATGAGTGAGGACTAATCAAC